TATTTCAAATAACAACAATACATCAATATATATAAGATATAATACATTCTAACGACTTATAAAAGTTAAAAATAAAATACCTGTAAGAGAGACAAGAAAATCAATAAAATTTCAAACAAAATACATTTATTATATATAAACTGTCATACCATTATTATTTAAATGCAAGATTAAGGAGAAAAAAGCCTCCCGAACAAGTATTTTCACTCAAATTATTATGTAGACAATAATATAAAAAGGTAATGATATAAATAATGACATGTTTTGAAGCATAGATAATATATATACCATAGGTAATAGATATACAAAGGTTAAGAACAAAGACCATAGATCACAGACAAGAGAGACCATAGATCTTGTCTATCCATAGACAAGAGCGCAAGACGCTGGCCTTAGAATCGCGACATATCCCATATACATCGACAAATACTAATGGACGTGCCTTAGCCGACAGAATTGTGGTATGTACGACTAAAGAAAGATATGGAACGAAGTTTCGGACAATATCTCTCTTTCATGATAGGATAGTGTCGTTGTTAGATCTGTAGTACTACAGGAATATGGCGTTTTTTAAAAACAAAACTTTTGTTGTTTATTTATAGATTCTCCAGTTTTAATTTTTATATTGTTACATCAATCATGTTTATAAGAATATGCCTTACCTTTAAAGATAGAATTGTTGCTATTTATGTCGCTGGGTGTTATTGGGCATTTGGTAGTAGGCAACACTGAATTGGAGATATTTAAAGGAACTCTAGGATTTTTACCCTTCATTTACAGGAGTAATAATAAAAGTGCATAGGATATTTATTTATTTTTTCAAAATTTCTGGCCAATTAATTGGATGTATGATGTTAACATACGAGGGGTTTTTGCAAGAAAATAATGAGCACTTAGATAAAATTAATAATTTTCATTAGGCCAGAAATTTGTGTTGGCGACATGTTAAAATATATATTTTTTTACAAATCAATTACTAACAATAANTGGATGTCTGCCTTGGTATCCTTATTGAATTTGGTTTGCTTTTCACACATGTTAACCACGGAACGTTACATTCTACAGACAATTCGGGTAAGTTATTAAGTTAATCAATTAATTATACGTTATAAATATATTGTCAATTTGGTTAACAAAAGACGTCCTGGTACGTAATGCATAGGATGACGAGCGTATGTTACGTTTTTGTATAATACCGTCAGATTGTCCATCGTGTTGATGGGACTGTAGGTAATTGCAAACTTCAATTTATCCAAATTCTTTCTAAAAGGCATGGATGGCGTCTATAGCCCAATGACGTTTTGCTGATTTTACCACAAAAATTCGTAGAGAACATCGATTTGCACTTCCAACTCCCAATTTAAAAACGTTTTTATTTCTTAATTGTTAATTTTTTAAAAGACGAGTGTTTTATAAGTAAAGGAAGTCAGAACTGCTCCTGCAGTCTGACGCTCAGACTACACTGCAGTGAAGTGGGTTGCCTACGTCAAGGGCCAGCGGTCGCCAGCAATATTTGAAACAATTTGTATTTTAAATAGAAATTATGACAGTACTTTCGCGCGAAATTAAACGAGTGCGCTGTAGTCTAGATAAACAAGGAAATGTTACAGCGCTAGTCGAAATTTGTGAGCAACTAAATTTTTGGATTTTAATAAAACAGTGTNCTTGTTCTCATACGCAGAAGGCGTGTCTATAGGGGATATGTGGCACACAGCATGTTCGTTAACTTCTAATTACCAGTTTTCACTACAGAATAAGTGGTTTCGTGACGCGTCTAGTGTATGCAAAAAGTCCCATAATTATACGAAAAAAAAAATTATACCACCATATCTCTTTACTCATCTGCAACCAAGGAAAGTGAAAATCTAAATACCCACATCGTCGTAAAGCATACGTGATAATAAATGAAAGTAAGTTTTTGGATCAAGGTGAAGCTCCATATTTTTTTTTATTTTTTCCCGAAAATGAACCAGCCTGTATAGTAATTATAAAACTCGACTATTGCACATTATTTAACATTAAAGAAGATAATTAAATTCAATAAAAATAATAATAACGATCTTTCGTAATGATCACAGATATCTACACCTACCTTTTCTTTCTTTTTCAAAGGCACCAACTGTTTTCCATTACGATACAAACTACCGTACGAAATGATTGTTGAAACATCATTTTTTAAGAAGTATCAGTACGAGGCGTATTTAAACAAAAAAAATCGGCAATGGTATAAGTAATTAATGAAACCCATGAAATTGATTAAAAAAATTTAAAAATAATCTAAATAACTGTAGGTACGTATTTTTGTTTGTTTAAATCTGCCTGTAGCAAGTTCCACATTCGCTATTTATGAATGTCATGGCTTCTTCTATGTCACAAACCCAATAATAAAAAAAACTACGAACATTGAAATTTTTCGAATTTAGATATACCTATTTATCTTAGTTGTGTTTTAATGGCAACATTATCCTAATAATTGTTTGTATAATTCGTTAAAAATCTGTGTCCCAGCCTGTTATGTCATCGGGTGGAGGTCCGTCGCCGTCAGGGGGATAGTCGTCGAAATTGGACGTATCCGTTACGTGTTTTACTTGAGGAGTTATGGGGGGTATCAACGTCTTGTAACAAAGACCTTCCCAGTTGAAACCATCGAACCATCTGAAAATGAAATTATTCAGGGTAGTTATTTTCTTCGGAGTTGTCTCCTGAGACCAATAAAATTAATTAACTGGTTTAAGTTAGGATTTCTTTTTATTTTTTTGACAGAAATCTCAAGTTGTCTTGAATTAATAAATTTTTATCTGTATTTTAAGGTATGCCCATTTCTGTTTCAAAAGCTACTCCAAACAAGAGTACTGGAAATGTTAAACTTTTTCTTATTTCTGGTAGGTCCTCAATTACCAAAGTGTAATAATGTAATAGAATACAATCAATCAAATGTTTACTTACTTATGCTTCCTAATATCACTAATGCCGCCTTTCTGATATCCCAGTCGTTCAGCAGGATTATCGCGACAGAGTTTCTTGATGAGAGCTTGTGCATTTCTGGTTATATTTCTAGGGAACTCAATGGCGTCAATGCCTTTCAGGATGATATTGTATGTTTTCATTGGATCCGCCCCTGTGAACGGAGGGGTTCCTGTCAACAATTCAAACATAAGCACTCCCAAGGACCAGTAATCCGCACTTATATCGTGACCCTTGTTCAATATCACTTCTGGAGCAACGTATTCTGGAGTGCCACAGAACGTCCATGTTTTTCTTCCTGTAAAGAAACAAGATTTTATCATTGAATGTGAAGTGTTCTTCATGAACATTTGTTGATAGGGAACTTTAAAAAAATAAAATTTTAACCTGTTTGCAATTTTTTGGCGAATCCAAAGTCAACCAATTTCACGTATCCCTGGTTGTCTAAGAGTAAATTTTCAGGTTTGAGATCTCTATATATTATATTTCTGGAGTGTAAATAGTCAAACGCTTCCACCACACATGCCGTATAAAAGCGGGTGGTAGAATCATCAAAATAGCCCTTGTCTCTTAAAACCGTCCATAATTCGCCCCCTAGACAGCTTTCCATCAACATGTAAAGATACTTGCGATCCTTGAACGTCTTGTACAATTTAACGATGAAATCACAATTGGCTTCACCCATGATCTCTTTCTCGGACATGATGTGTTGCTGTTGACGCGTTTCGACAATTTGAGCCTTCTTCATTTGTTTCAAGGCGAAAGAACGCGAAGGATCGTTTTGGATTTGAACGAGCTCGACCCTACCGAATCCACCCACTCCTAGCGTTGCGAGAATGCGTAAATCTGACAATTTGACTTTCTCGAACTGCTGGTTCTCTCTAACAACAGGAAAACAATAACAGTGAGTTGTAACAACAGGTAGAAGACGGATTATAAAAGTAAAAATATAATGCTGATTATTCAGCACATATTTTTTTGTGAACGATTTATACAAAAAGGTGTGCATGTATTAATTAATTAATGGTATTGTATTTTTACTTGGAAGAAGATTTTACAATCTCAAATTTTCTTAATTTAAAATTAGTTTCTTTTTACTTACCAACCTATCCTACTTTTTGATTGCAATCAAAAAAGACAAAAAGAGATAAGAACAAGAACTGAGAAAGGAAACGATAAAACTTAAATAAAATATCAAATAAATTGCTTACCTTCTCCTTTCGTCACCTTCGTCAGTATATCTTGTCTTTACTTCTTCCAAATTCGAGATAAGTTGATTGAATGTCTCTCTATCGATTACAAGACAAGACACTCCTTCAGGATCATCACAAATAACATTGGCCGTCCTCAAGTCATCTCTAAAGCAAAATAATTATTGAATCATCATCTTTCGAAAAAGATATTTAATTAAAATACACTCACAATTTTTGTCCACTGCACATATGTATTGTTTAACAACTTACCCTTGTAATGCCTTTTCACCAAAGAAATCTCCCTTGCCGAGGGTACGTATGTATTTTTCTTCAGAACTATTCGGTTGTTTGATTGTCACTTTAACTCTGCCCTTACTAATTATAAAGAACGTGTCACCTCTTGCACCCTGTCGAAGAATGTAATCGCCTTCTGCGTAGAATGTCTCTTCCAATACATCCGAAATTTTTATAAGAACATCTTCGGGAAGATTCTTGAAGAGTGGCACACTATAAATGATGGAATATTATGAGTTGATAATGCAAACGACTTTCAGTTATTAATATTTGTAAATGAACCATTTTTAATCGCGACTCATTATTAAACGCAAGGCAAATACTAAAATGTATATAATATAAAAGAAAATTTGGTACTACGTTTAGGTCCAAATAGGCTTTTACCTATTTATTAAAATTAAAATACAAATGTGATATGTTGTATTATTGTTTCATTCTAGGAAACAAAATATTTGTAAGGGATAAGTGTAACGAATAACTTTTGTTAGAATCTTCGTATGAGTATTGCAAAACGAGCACAAAAAAGCTGAATTACGTAAAAAAATAGTTTTGAAGCATTTAATAAAAAAACAGGGTTAAAGGTTAGTTTACTATTGTATGTTTCGGGTTAATTTCGTATGATTTAAATATGATCTCACCTCTTGAGAAAGTCGGAATATTCGGCCTGCCGGATAAGGCCTGTCCTCATCATGATAGTTTGGAAACATTGTCTCTCGATAGCCCATAGTTTACAATCAGTTGCAGCTTTTATCGTAGCAGTTCTTTTACAGTTGTACAAAATTGCCAATTCGCCCAAAACCTTACCTGGTGCTATTGAACTTAGGTACTTATTTTCTCTAGAAACTTCTACTCTTCCATCTGAAACAATAAACAATAAATTTAAGTTAGGATTAGGAATGTAAACATCATATATCAAATTAAAGGTCTCGGACTGTATATGCATTAGTTAGAAAAAAAGGGTGCGAGACGACTGATCACACAGTTCACACGTGCGTGACCATCAGAACACGCATATGTACAATTAGAAAAAATTGAGTTCTTTGAGATACACATTTCATAATTATCGTTTACTTAGAGATATTTTCAGTAAAAGAAGCGAGTGAGGCATGCATCAGGATTCAAGAACTTCTAGTTCATTTTATTTTTTTTTTATTGTCATTTCCATGAAGTGTAATTAGCTATTAAAACTAATCATTTGGATACGTTGAGGATGATCATCATAACCAGAAACGCACTCAAATTGGATTTCGTTATTTTAGTTTCTAATTAATAATTACTTGTTACTTAATCCCGCACAGGATGGAGAAATTGAAATAGTAATAAGACTACTATGTCGACAATATACTTCTATTGTAAGTACAATAATGCAATTTCATAATAATATTGAAAATACACGCTAAGTGTAATCATTAAGATAATTTTTGAGATATTTTTATTTCAAGCGAAAATATTTTGCATTTTTGTAATTAATATGAAATATTCTCANATGCACGTTATTTACCAGGAGGCTAATTGATTTTATCTGAATACTTATAAGATCTCATTTCACAGGAACATTAAAAAAACCTTGGACGGCATTACTTTACAGTGGCTTGGTTGTGTCAGTGTTCATTCGATTCAGAAAGTAGCTATCCTAAAAAGAAGCACAAAAGTGCCTTTTTTTCATTGAGAACGGATACATTGTAGCATTGATGAAGGAAGGATTTATGATGTATGAACTGGTAAATAAACTATATCAATTAAAAATATTAATCCAGGTCCCAGAAACTTCAATTTCTTAGGCATTTGTAACTTACTTTCATCAGACAACTTTTTAACGTTTTAAACGTGGCAGAAGCAAGATGTGGAACTGGCCTTTCCATCAGTGCAAAAGTTAGCTTCTAACTTTAACACCACATCTCTACATTAAAATATCACTGATTTATTTGCTTTAGAAGTTGTAATTAACGTTTTCTTGCCTGTTTCTATAGATTGTCCAAGTGAAAAGGAATTAATTCTGATGGTACTGAAATAGCCGATGCTTTTGACGTCTTACCTTTGCAACATGTAAGGGGGAGGCATCTGGATATTAATTTGGAAACGACTGAAACAACAAATAGTCTGCAGTGGTATTCCTCCTGGATTTGGCTGGTTCATTCTATCTGTGGACCTTAAAAACCTACTTTCTGCAGTTAATTAAGGTGAGAATGCATGCCATTTATAATATTAGTTGGTTTAAGTTGATCTTATGGGTTATTCGTCTTATCAATTATCTATTGTTAACAGTTTCAATTAATCATAACGTGTATATACGGTATTTCATTTCTTTAAATATCTATAGTACACATAAATTGACATCGTGCATCTGTGATTGCTGGCCTTTATGTCTTGCGTGATCTATGGTCATGATATGAAATGATAGTTGTCGCCATTATAATTCAGCTATTTTACTTGCTTTTCGTTGTTTATTTTTAGGAGTGTTTAGTTCCTTCCTTTTTTAATAGTGAATTAATATATTTTTTTGCCCATTTCTGCAGATTGCCCAACAAATGAGTTCAGTTTGGCGCTACTCGAGCAACTGTCTACATGTGTGTGGTCTTTTCTAGACTTCGTTCATGATTTGATATTTTCATCTTCACTTCTCAAAACTATGTTGATTTTCGGCGGATTAGTGGGAGCAACTAAAGATTTATTTGATTTCAAGTGGAACAACAAAATTTCTGCTATGGAGTTGGTTTGCTTTCCACACCTGCAAACTTTGGAACATTACGATCTACAGTTAAGTCGAGAATACATGACTTCATTAATATTAATTTCTCTTTATTAATCTGTAATGAAATTTCTGTTAACAATCATTGTCAACAGGATAAATTGAAGTTGTTGTGCATTTATATCCCTTAACAGATTTTATTTTCCACAGAAGAGATTGACATTTATCATTGATGTATGGAGTTTCGTTTTAACCTTTGTCTATTGTCTGCATCGTAAATTGACGTCGTGATATTTGACATTTATCTATGTCGTGATCTATGGTTGTAATGTAAAATGGCGTGAAAGTAACGCTTGTTATTTTATAATTGAGCTATTTTTACTTGGTTTTTATTTATGTTTATTAATAATACGTGTAATTAATGTTTTTTTATCCATTTCTGCAGGTTATATAATAAATGGGAGAGAATTAAAGTTCAGTTTGGTTATATTGAAACAGCCAATGTCTACATGGGTGTGGTTATGCATAGATTATATTCTTGATTTGCTGTTTCGTCTTCGCCTTGTGACATCATGCAGTTAATTTTTAACCCATGATTGAGAGCAACTGGATATCATTTGAATTCCACTGAAATAACAAATTCTCTGCTACAGTATTCCTCCTGGAGTTTGTTTACTTTTCACACCTGTAAACTTTGGAATGTTACCTTCTACAATTAATTAAGGTGAGAATACTTGATATAATCAATTTTAATTGCTCTTTATTAATCTGTTTGCCACTGTATCTGTTTCAGATCGACATTGGAGAAGACAAAGATGACCCCATAGTTGAAATAGTTCTTTATCTTGCATGCTCTATCTAGTAGAATTCATTAAGTTGATTTTATTCAAATTAATTTTTTATTTTGCATGNCACTACACACTTCCTCAAATTAATGAGGAAAAATTTGTTGCTGTTGACACACCCCCGCCGAGAATCGAACGCGGGCTCTTTGGCTTTACGCGCCAATGCTTTGACCACTAAGCTACGAGAGATGACAACAGCAACAACGACAAACCGTACTATTAGTCACAGATGTAGATGACTAATGTAACTATGTACTGAATATAAATATATATACAATGTAGAAATCTTCCCGAAGTGAATTAGTTTTTAATATGAAATATTCTCAATTTTTACCCACTACACACTTCCTCAAATTAATGAGGAAAAATTTGTTGCTGTTGACACACCCCCGCCGAGAATCGAACGCGGGCTCTTTGGCTTTACGCGCCAATGCTTTGACCACTAAGCTACGAGAGATGACAACAGCAACAACGACAAACCGTACTATTAGTCACAGATGTAGATGACTAATGTAACTATGTACTGAATATAAATATATATACAATGTAGAAATCTTCCCGAAGTGAATTAGTTTTTAATATGAAATATTCTCAATTTTTACCCACTACACACTTCCTCAAATTAATGAGGAAAAATTTGTTGCTGTTGACACACCCCCGCCGAGAATCGAACGCGGGCTCTTTGGCTTTACGCGCCAATGCTTTGACCACTAAGCTACGAGAGATGACAACAGCAACAACGACAAACCGTACTATTAGTCACAGATGTAGATGACTAATGTAACTATGTACTGAATATAAATATATATACAATGTAGAAATCTTCCCGAAGTGAATTAGTTTTTAATATGAAATATTCTCAATTTTTACCCACTACACACTTCCTCAAATTAATGAGGAAAAATTTGTTGCTGTTGACACACCCCCGCCGAGAATCGAACGCGGGCTCTTTGGCTTTACGCGCCAATGCTTTGACCACTAAGCTACGAGAGATGACAACAGCAACAACGACAAACCGTACTATTAGTCACAGATGTAGATGACTAATGTAACTATGTACTGAATATAAATATATATACAATGTAGAAATCTTCCCGAAGTGAATTAGTTTTTAATATGAAATATTCTCAATTTTTACCCACTACACACTTCCTCAAATTAATGAGGAAAAATTTGTTGCTGTTGACACACCCCCGCCGAGAATCGAACGCGGGCTCTTTGGCTTTACGCGCCAATGCTTTGACCACTAAGCTACGAGAGATGACAACAGCAACAACGACAAACCGTACTATTAGTCACAGATGTAGATGACTAATGTAACTATGTACTGAATATAAATATATATACAATGTAGAAATCTTCCCGAAGTGAATTAGTTTTTAATATGAAATATTCTCAATTTTTACCCACTACACACTTCCTCAAATTAATGAGGAAAAATTTGTTGCTGTTGACACACCCCCGCCGAGAATCGAACGCGGGCTCTTTGGCTTTACGCGCCAATGCTTTGACCACTAAGCTACGAGAGATGACAACAGCAACAACGACAAACCGTACTATTAGTCACAGATGTAGATGACTAATGTAACTATGTACTGAATATAAATATATATACAATGTAGAAATCTTCCCGAAGTGAATTAGTTTTTAATATGAAATATTCTCAATTTTTACCCACTACACACTTCCTCAAATTAATGAGGAAAAATTTGTTGCTGTTGACACACCCCCGCCGAGAATCGAACGCGGGCTCTTTGGCTTTACGCGCCAATGCTTTGACCACTAAGCTACGAGAGATGACAACAGCAACAACGACAAACCGTACTATTAGTCACAGATGTAGATGACTAATGTAACTATGTACTGAATATAAATATATATACAATGTAGAAATCTTCCCGAAGTGAATTAGTTTTTAATATGAAATATTCTCAATTTTTACCCACTACACACTTCCTCAAATTAATGAGGAAAAATTTGTTGCTGTTGACACACCCCCGCCGAGAATCGAACGCGGGCTCTTTGGCTTTACGCGCCAATGCTTTGACCACTAAGCTACGAGAGATGACAACAGCAACAACGACAAACCGTACTATTAGTCACAGATGTAGATGACTAATGTAACTATGTACTGAATATAAATATATATACAATGTAGAAATCTTCCCGAAGTGAATTAGTTTTTAATATGAAATATTCTCAATTTTTACCCACTACACACTTCCTCAAATTAATGAGGAAAAATTTGTTGCTGTTGACACACCCCCGCCGAGAATCGAACGCGGGCTCTTTGGCTTTACGCGCCAATGCTTTGACCACTAAGCTACGAGAGATGACAACAGCAACAACGACAAACCGTACTATTAGTCACAGATGTAGATGACTAATGTAACTATGTACTGAATATAAATATATATACAATGTAGAAATCTTCCCGAAGTGAATTAGTTTTTAATATGAAATATTCTCAATTTTTACCCACTACACACTTCCTCAAATTAATGAGGAAAAATTTGTTGCTGTTGACACACCCCCGCCGAGAATCGAACGCGGGCTCTTTGGCTTTACGCGCCAATGCTTTGACCACTAAGCTACGAGAGATGACAACAGCAACAACGACAAACCGTACTATTAGTCACAGATGTAGATGACTAATGTAACTATGTACTGAATATAAATATATATACAATGTAGAAATCTTCCCGAAGTGAATTAGTTTTTAATATGAAATATTCTCAATTTTTACCCACTACACACTTCCTCAAATTAATGAGGAAAAATTTGTTGCTGTTGACACACCCCCGCCGAGAATCGAACGCGGGCTCTTTGGCTTTACGCGCCAATGCTTTGACCACTAAGCTACGAGAGATGACAACAGCAACAACGACAAACCGTACTATTAGTCACAGATGTAGATGACTAATGTAACTATGTACTGAATATAAATATATATACAATGTAGAAATCTTCCCGAAGTGAATTAGTTTTTAATATGAAATATTCTCAATTTTTACCCACTACACACTTCCTCAAATTAATGAGGAAAAATTTGTTGCTGTTGACACACCCCCGCCGAGAATCGAACGCGGGCTCTTTGGCTTTACGCGCCAATGCTTTGACCACTAAGCTACGAGAGATGACAACAGCAACAACGACAAACCGTACTATTAGTCACAGATGTAGATGACTAATGTAACTATGTACTGAATATAAATATATATACAATGTAGAAATCTTCCCGAAGTGAGTTGTTTTTAATATGAAATATTCTCAATTTTTACCCACTACACACTACCTCAAATTAATGAGGAAAAATTGTTGCTCATTAATTTGAGGTAGTGTGTAGTGGGTAAAAATTGAGAATATTTCATATTAAAACTAACTCACTTCGGGAAGATTTTTACATTGTACGTATATTTTTGTAATTCGCTTTGTTGTTTGCACTCAACTGTTAAATGGACCGCTCATGATACATTGCACGATAAAAGGAATTTAGTTGAACCACCTATTTCTACTCTTATCCTACCTTTATCGGCATTAAAAATCTATTGCTTGTGTTAGTTGTTACGCAAATGTAACATTTGACATTTGAAAAGTAAAAGTCGTTTAACTCTCTCGTTAATATTTATGCATCTGCATTACTCCACAACTCCTTTTGCTGTTAAGCATATTATACTATGTACTATGTAATTAAGTTAATAAAATTCTATTGTTTGTCAATAGTTCGGCAGAAATAGTTGTGTATTAAATTTCATGATGTTTGCTCGATATTTCTTGTTGCAAAAAAGATATTTCAATTAATGAAAAAGTTTAAAAAACTTTTGTTTAAATCGCCGATTCGGTGAGACAAGTTGAAAACCTTAACTAAGTAAGACTTTGCCTATGAACGCTTGAAATACTTTGGTTGCAGCAAATATCTTCCAGAGGGCGGTACACTGCTTGCATTCGGCATAGCACTTTGCACATATATTGTGATCGTGGCGATATCGAAAGTAGGTACACAAAAGTCAAAAATCCTTCTTATAGGATGTTTGGGAGGTACAATCGGAGACAAGAGTACATAAAATTAGATTTTCGTGATTAATTAGGTTTTGCAGCATATCATGTGGAAAATTTTTAACTGACTTTTGACAGTGAATATACCATGATTTCAACTTCGAAACAAAAAA